ATACAATTATTTCTTAGCTATGTACCAAACCAGCATCCTTGAGACCTCTTCTTTTTGGTTTTATGTTCTTGTGGACAGAACAACATGCAAAGACTTAGGGAAGGGGCACAAATGCAAGTTTTGGAGACTGATCATATCATCATCTGTGGAGTTAACAGTCATCTGTCTTTCATACTGAAGCAGCTAAACAAATACCATGAATTTGCTGTCCGCTTAGGTACTGCTACAGCTAGGTAAATGTTAGGATAGTGCAAAAAGAGTCCCCCACATGTTTTTTTTGCACAAAGACTTCTCTGATTCTATCTGCGATATATGTGTCTAGGAGGCAGAGAATTCTTCTTATGTCTGATCTTCCAAGGAAGCAGATGGACAAGATAGCTGACAATATTGCTAGAGATCTTGACCATATTGATATCCTTAGCAAGAGGTATTAGTGCCAAGTCTTCTTCTCTTTTATAGTATCCATCTATAAGACATTAAGTAAAATCTGAGAGGACACTGCAACCTAGGACATGGGAAACTTGAGACAGAAACTGACAAACAGAATAATATCAGAGAAAAAGAAAGTTATCTTTATGCTTTCAAAAAGAAGGGGTGAACAGGAAGGACAAAGCATGCATCCTACTGTTAGAGCTGTCACTCTTTGCTAGCAGTGGTAATACCCTGCTTGCTACTTCTTCTTTAGATGCTTGTCTTTTGGGTCATGGCCTTATGGATTGTCTTAAAATTTTGATGATGATTTATTTGTTTGATGGTGCTGAACAAGACTATTAGGGCTGGACTTATGACCTAGGGCTTGTGATTTTCATGTCTCTGGTTATTTCTTCTATATCATAATTTTGTTCTGCCTGTGCAGTTGCAGCCTTAGTTTAACAAAATCATTTGAAAGAGCAGCAGCCAATAAGGCTCGTGCCATTATCATACTGCCCACAAATGGGGATCGGTAAGAGCTTGATTGATTTAAAAGAAATATGTTGATGGCCTTAGTCTAGAATTAGGGAGAGTTCTGGGGATAATTTCAGCTCTAGTTTTTAGAAATGAAGTGATGGTATCTATGTTACTGAAATAATTGTGAGAATATTTAGTGGCTCTACTGTGCTCTTGTTTATCTGCTTGTATGATTTTATTTTGCCAATTTACATCAATAACAGTTATGAATTTATTGACACCAGTTCTTAAAACACATTAGGTATGAAGTTGACACTGATGCATTTCTCTCTGTACTGGCCCTTCAACCTATTCCTAACATGGAATCTGTCCCCACCATTGTAGAGGTATGATGATGTTGTAAAAAAATTGTAAATAGTATGATTCTTCTAATCTACTGTGCATAACTTTTTGTTGAAATTGTCTTACTTACTGATGCAGGTTTCAAGTTCTGATACATGTGAGCTCTTGAAGTCAATCTCTGGATTGAAAGTAGAGCCAGTTGAAAATGTTGCTTCCAAATTGTTTGTTCAATGTTCGCGGCAAAAGGGACTCATAAAGATCTACAGGCACTTGCTTAACTATCGAAGTATAGTCCTGCTAATTTATGTTTGTTTGGTTCAGTCTCTTCATTCTTCAAGGGGGTAAAAAGGAAAAAGAACTAGCATTTAAATTTACATCTCTCAACAATGTAGGATGCCCTTGAATTGGGTTACTTGTTCAGTTGTTGTCTGGTGTTTTACAGCTTTCATTCTTGGGTTAGTGGAACTATTACCTGTTATTTTCTTGTCATCACCATCTTATTCCAACGAGAAACCTTACACCTGCATTGATAGTTTTTTTTTTTTTTTCCATGATCTTTTTGAATCATACAAAATAATTCCAGTTCAAACCATTCATTTGTTTGAATACAAGCACTGTTTCTAAAAGGTGGTTCTTTAACATTGTCGATGTTATAAATTTTTACGCCAGTACTAATTAAAGTTCTCTTCTCTTGTAGAAAATGTATTTAATCTTTGCAGTTTTCCTAATCTAGCGGGAATGAAGTATAGGCAAATAAGACACAAGTTTCAAAAGGTACTGCCTTCTGTCAAATGAACCAGTAAAACAACTTCCATTCAGTTTTCTTATGTTTTCTTTCTCCAAATGGAGAATGTTTCAGGCAGTTGTTTGTGGCCTTTACCGTGATGGGAAGATATGCTTCCACCCAAATGATGATGAAATTCTGCAGCAGACTGACAAAGTATGTAGAGTTATGACTTACGAATTTCTGAATGTCTGTGTACATATTCCTTATTCTAAAATAAATAAAGCACCACAAGTTTGACCAGCAAAGTTTACAATGCTGATAATACCACATTTGAAAAAGAAGACATTATGCCCATAATTTAAAGAGCGCTGTTCAATTTGTCACATACCTGAATATCAACTACCTGGTGAGTGCTAGCCAAACTGTCTAAGAAGGACTGGGTCTCTAACTTACAGACATATATTGGCTAAAATAATGAGTCAAACCCATTATATATATGTTAGAAGAAAGTTGCATGTGTGCAAAATTTCTTGGTATTGGCTGCCATGATATTGGTTGAAATGAAGTGCGCTGAAAGTTCCTAGTCCATTGGATTCCAACCCTGGTCAGATCTCTATATTTCCTGACATATATCTCTTCTTTGTTTTTGTAGATATTGTTTATTGCACCTGTTCATGGCCATGGCACAAAAAAGCAACCTTCACTTTCAGATGTTGTTAATGAAGGAAGAAGTGTCATTCAAGGTCCAGAAGTTTTAGAAAATAATGTTGCTGACCCTACAAATCAGGCTTTAGAATTAAGAAAAGCACGACTAATAAATATTGTCCAGCGCCCATTCAAGTCGGGATCTAAGGTATGCTTTCTGACTTGATGAATGGCTTAGGTCATAGCATCTTGTGAAGATTCTGGTAGTCACCATCTATTCTATTGCTCATAAGCCAGGCATCGGACGGGAGTGTAGGACCCAGAGAATGCATACTTCTGCTTGGGTGGCGCCCAGATGTTATTCAAATGATTGAAGAGTACGATAATTATCTTGGCCCTGGGAGTGTGGTGGTATGCATTTATTCTGTCTCTGGAATCTCATAATGCCTATGATTTCAACCATAACTGTAGTATTTGCTGAGTATATAAGATACATCAACACCTATTTTAGAAATCAAAGAGTAACTGGTATGGAGTGGGTGGGGGGTCACTGATCCTGGAAATATTGGTTTATTGGTCAATTTAAAGTCAAAATATATCTCAAGCATTGTGTTTTGACAAATGTAGCTGGTCAAACATAAAAGTATTGCTTACAGAATTTAAATGTCAACCAGTTGATAAACTGTAAGGAATACCTGTTTGTCTTGCAATAAGATGCTTATTGCCTAACTAGATACTCTTTGTAGCGATACAGATGTTTGCCTGGCTGCATCATCTTATTTCTGGGACCAACAATGAGGCTGCACTGTTGTTACTTTGATTCCCCTTTTTTTTGGCCAACTCGTATTACTTTAATAGAATGCATCAGTTTTTACATCATAGTCATTTTAAGTTTGTACATAGTATATGTTCAGGCTTACAATTTAGTGATTTACTTGTTACCAAATTACCTATATATTTGCAGGAAATATTATCAGATGTCCCGTTAGATGATAGGAAAAGAGCAAGCATTGTTGCTGGTCAAGGAAAACTCAAAAACGTTAAGGTTTCCAATAAGGTATTGCCTTGTCCAGTTAACCAGAGTGAAAATTTTTTTCACATATTCTTAACCTCCCCTCCTTTTCATTGATGAGAATGCGAAAAAGGACTGGTGGCTTCGGGGCATGCTTTGCTTTCCTTGTAATGCTTAATTTTTCTTTCATGTCGTGCAGGTTGGAAATCCACTGAACTATGATACCTTGAAAGAAACTATAATACATATTCAAAATTCTTTCAGGAAAAACGAAGATATTCCTTTGTCTATTGCTGTAATTTCTGATAGGGAATGGCTTCATGGAGGTAATAATACATGAAGATCTTTTTATTTTTTATTTTGTTTTTTTGGTTGGTAAAGTTTCACTTCGTTTATTATTACCATAGTTTATTATTTATTATAGCCTTGTTAAGAATTTTCTCTTCAGATGCATGCAGGGCTGACAGGCAGGCAGCCTATTCTCTTCTCCTCGCCGAAAATATCTGCAATAAACTTGAAGTGAAGGTGAGTATGTCTTAGCATGAGATAGTGCCTTTAGATTTTTGTTTTCTTTTAGTAAATCAAAGTCAAGACAGGTTTGTGTTTCATAGGTACAAAATTTGGTCGCAGAGATTGTCGACTCAAAATTGGGAAAACAAGTAATACTTCTTCCAGAAGAAACTTATAAAAAAATTTTCTATCTAAATGTTTGACTGGCTTGGGTTTTTCACATATTTTTGGGTCCTGCTATTCCTGCAGATTGCAAGAATCAAGCCGTCCATCACTTACATAGCAGCCGAGGAAGTGATGAGCCTTGTGACAGCTCAAGGTCTAAAATCATCATATTGCTATGACAGTGTGTATTGTTTCATTTGTTTTTTAACCGTAGCATTAACCTCTTGTCGTGCATAACAGTGGTGGAGAACCGTGAGTTGAATGAGGTGTGGAAAGACATTTTGAATGCAGAGGGTGATGAAATATATGTCAAGGTAAATTACCTTCTTCCTGATATATAATGTTTACTTTTAAACCTGAAAATTGATGGTGCTCTGTTGGTTCTCAAGTTAGTTTCCAGGAGTAATGAGCTTATATCAGGCCACCATTTCACATTGTCACCTGGCATGTTATGTTATAAGACTGAATTTGTTAAAGAATATTAGATGCGGATACCGATATAAACTGTTCTAATATAAACTGTTCTAAATTATTGAAAATCCTGCATGTGGGCTCAACACAAGACTTGCATCCAACCTAAAACCAATTGGCAATAGGTGGAGTAGCTCTTCTTGTATTTAACCCACAACCTTCTTATTTTTATACTTGATGTGGGATTTTCCCACTTAACATAAATAATCTACCTGACTAGATATTAGAATTCTTCAGGGAAACTATGTGTGTAGAACTATAATTTAACTACCATAATGGATATCCCATTTCAATCTACAACTGTTGTATGTTTCTTGGACTACTTGAAAAGAATAGACTGAGTTTGGAAGAATACTTAGCAGAGATAGCACAGTTCCTATATAACATATGATTACTTGTTTCTTCCTACAGGATATTAGCCTGTACATGATAGAGGGAGAGACTCCATCATTCTCAGAGTTAACTGAGAGGGCACTTTTACGTCGAGAAGTCGCCATAGGTTATATGAAGGACAACAAAAAGGTATAGAGCTTTTTTCTCTTCCTTCATTGTTAACAAGTTTTGCTTTATCATCTAACTCAGTCTCTTTGATACTCCAGGTTATTAACCCAATTCCAAAGACAGAACCGCTATCACTTGCATTAACAGATTCACTCATCGTTATATCTGAGCTTGAAGGAGAGCAACCCATTGTCGTCGAAAATGTGTACAGCTCGGATCTTTCTTCTGCCTGATTCTTCTTCAGTTTCATTTTTTAGGACATTAGGTTTCATTTCCATGAATTTTTAACTGGATTAGCAGCATAGTCTAAAAGAAAAGAAAAGAAAAAAAAAATCAATGAGTTCGTATGAAAATTAGGAAGATTCTGGACTCTGTCATGTGACATTATAAAAAAAAAGAAAAAAGAGAGGAGAGAATAAATTGGAAAATGGATGGTGATCCGTGATCCTCTCTGTGCTGCAAAACCTTTCCTCATGTGTAAGTTACATTTGAATCTTAATTTAGTTAAATATCATTTTTCAACCCTCTTTCATGATACCTTTTGTCTACTTTTACGTCGAACTGGTGTGCCTAAAATTTCCTTCCAAACTAAGTCCGGATTATAAAATGATGGAGGGTTATCTTTTATTATTATTATTATTAGGTTAAAATCCCTTTTTGGTCCCTAAACTATTGTACGGATCCCCGATTTGGTCCCTGAACTAAAAAAATCCCTGATTTAGTCCCTACTGTTTATCATTTTTACCCCGATTTGGTCCTTCCGTCAAATATCAACCTACGTGTCCCATTACTTGACGGGGAAAACGATGACCTGTTAAAACATTTTGACACCTAGGATGTACAGTGTGAAAAAAAATGAGATGGCAAAAAAATCTTTAAAAATTTCTTATTCTTTTTTTTTTCTTCGTTTGTTTTTCCTTTTTCCCTTTCTTCTTCCTCTTCCTTTCCTTTAACCTTCTGCAAACCCTAATTCCTAATATTAAATTCAAGGATAACACAACAAATCAACAGATTAAACTCAATAGATATTTGACCCAATGGCTGCTGGGTTCAAAACGAAACCCAAAGCCTCACTTGTAGGAACTCAGCAGCTGCTCAAACCCAACGCTTGCTGGGTTCGATTTCAAACCCAACGCTTGCTGGGTTCGATTTCGAACCCAGCACCTGCAAATGAACCCAACACTTGCAAAAACCTAACATTCGAAATTGACAAATCGAACCCAGCATTGAACCCAACACCTAACACCTGCAGTAATGCCTTTTTCATCTTCATCAATCAATTTTTTCATCACAATCAAACAACAAAATCCAAAAAACAAAAACATAAATTTTTTTTAAAAAATTTTTTGCACCTGGGTTCACAAGGAACCCAAGTGTGCTGGGTTTGTAGGAACCCAAACGCGAACCCAGCACGCTTGGGTTCCTTGCGAACCCAGCGCCTGGGTTCGCAAGGAACCGAACCCAAGCGTGCTGGGTTCCACCAAACCCAAGCATGCTGGGTTCGGTGCGAACCCAAACGCGAGCCCAGCACCAGACGCGAACCCAGCACCAAACGCGAACCCAGCAAACCCAGCACCAGACACGAACCCAGCGAACCCAGCACCAGACGCGAACCCAACACCAAACGCGAACCCAACACCAAACGCGAACCCAACACCAGATGCGAACCTAGCACGCTTGGGTTCCTTGCGAACCTAGCGCCTGGGTTCGCAAGGAACCGAACCCAAGCGTGCTGGGTTCCACCAAACCTAGGCATGCTGGGTTTGGTGCAAACCCAGCGCCTGGGTTCGCAAGGAACCCAGCGCCTGGGTGGGTTCGCAAGGAACCCACGCCTGCTGGGTTTCGAGGGGAAAGAGAAAAGAAAGGGGTGGGAGAAAGAGAAAGGGAAAGGGGAAGGAGAAAGAAAAAAGGAAAAAAGAAAAAAGAAAAAAGAAAAAAAATTTAAGTTTTATGTTTCATAATATTTTTTTATATTATTATTTTTGCCACATCATCACTTTTTGGTCTTCCACGTGGATTGCTATATGACATGTCATCTGGTAACTGTGAAGTAGCAGGCCACGTCACACAGTTTTTAACGGAAGGACCAAATCGGGGTAAAAATGGTAAACAGTAAGGACTAAATCAGGGATTTTTTTAGTTCAGAGACCAAATCGGGGGTCCGTACAATAGTTCAGGGACCAAAAAGGAGTTTTAACCTTATTATTATTATTATTATTATTATTATTAT